TACTACTTCAGGATGCGCCTTCCTCCTGCCTTTGCCCTGCAAGAGCTTTGGTTGGCTGGGTTTGGATGGGGGATGGAGCACACAGAAGCATTGCTTAACAAACGAGTTAATCACTGGCACAAACATCCTCTGCTCAGGTGAGCTGGTTGTGGGCAGCCAACCATGGGAGGGATAGGTCAGTGCTGACGCGCACCTCTGCCATCATCTGCACTATCAATTACCCGCTCCCACATCCCGCCTTGACCTCACGCCTGATCTCTGGGCATGGCTGGCTTCACCGCGGGGCCGGCGGTGGCCTCGGTGCTACATCCTGCTCTGGCGCTCGACTGTCGCTTGTCCCAGAAGCTCCCCTGTGCATGGTGCCCCCTCCTCGAGGGCTGGACCACCTCCTGGGTTCCAGGAAGCTGCCTTCCCCTCGCTCCCCTTCCCTGAAGCAGATCGGGCTGGGAGCCAGCCCAGCCTGTTCTTCAGGTGTGGCTGCGTACCTCCCTCTGACCAGTATTTCTGCTCCAGATCAAACGCGTGTCGCTGGTAAAACAGAATCGGGCTGTCGCGGGCTGCAATTGCCATCGGCAGGAGCTGCTGATGCGCGCGTCCCCCTTGGTTCCCATCCCCTGCCAGGCCACGCTGCCAGCCCCTGAGGAATAAGTGGTGCTTCCAGGGGGTGGGTTTGGTGTGCACTGGGCTGCAGCCCTGGGGGTTGGTAATGCTGGGGGTTGTTTTTAATCTCTGTTCTCAGAGTGATGTTTGTACTTGCAAGTCTGAAACCCTCCAAGAGCCTGGAGGCTTCGCCTTTGCTTCCGCAGAGGCTTGTGCTGTCCTGGTACTCGTGTGCAGTGAGTACATCGGGGGTCATGCAGCTCCAGGAAGTTTGTTTTTAAGCTGTTCAAGGTTCCCGAGTAAATACAGGGCTCACCTTTCGCTCCCTTCCTAATCCTGCTTGCGACAGCAATGGCTGCAAAGCAGGAGACTCAGCACATCATGGGCTGCTCAATCAATGAGGTGTATGTAGGGTTCTGGTCCTGCTTTTGGTCCTTTCCCTCTCTTGTAGAGCCTCCTGAGGTCTTCCCAACACGATGGGTCTCCCTAAGTGTCTATCCATCCTCCATCTGCTCCCATGGTTGACAATGGTGGTTAGGATCTTTATCGCTGCTATGGCTGAAAAGAGTAGGTGCTCCCTTGGATCCCGTCTCACTCCCTTCTTCTGCTGAGACAGGGGGTCCTGAGGTCCAGTCTCTTCTCCAACTTCTTGTTTTATCCAATGATGGACGATTTCCCATGCTGGGGGCTGCATATGGGCTTGCTATGGGCTTCCCTGTTGTTGCTGGATCTCATGAAGCTGCCAGAATGTTTGGAAGGCATCTGAGTTTTCTGGATCCACACTTCTGGATCTCAGTAAGTAACTTCTGAGTTAGGAGGAACCAGGTTCCTTGGGGCATCTGACCATTCAGTTCATGTTTTACAAGCTCCAAGATTGGAAAATGAGTTCCTTGGTCCATCGTTCCCTTGGAGCCGGGGCTGTCTGACTCCAGACCATGGATGATGCTTCAAGCAGGTCTGTGTGAAATGAAGTACTGACTGCAAAAGTCCAAGTCTCAGTCCTAAGTCACTGATACTGAGGGAAGCTGCTGGGAAAGAAACATCTTCCTTTAAGAAAGATGGGCTGGTCCGGCTTCAAACACAGCAGGGACTGTCCTACTGTGCACGTGTAGAACGATGGGAAATTGTCTTCCATGTTGGGATGCAGTGTCTCTTCTTTTAGTCACACACCTTCCCAGGGGCTGGGAACCTCTTCTCAGCTGAGTCCCAGTTGGACTGGATGACCCCTTTGGGTCCTTTCCAACTCAAGGTATGAGTCATGTTGAGTTTGACCCAATCTCCTTCCTAGCAGAAGAAAAGTGGCTTTTGAGGGCTCTGATGGTCTGCAGACAAGGTGAGCATCCCTGGGTAGCAAAGAGGGACCTGCCATAGCTACATCAGTGTAAGCTTGGTCTGCCCATGGGAAACATGCCTGGTGGGCACATTTTGGTTGATAGCTTACTGTAGGTCATGGGAGATGGTGGGGTAGAGGAGGAGCTGGTGCTGTACATGGAGAGCTGCAGGTCTGGTTCAGCTGTGCTGGTTGATGTTGCTGCTTCCTGCTCAGCTGGCAGCCGCGAGGTCTTCTCCTTCTGGCCGATGTCTTGGCCAGAGGAATGCGACTGCTGTAGTAGGAACTTCTTTCAAAGGCTGAGAAAGAAAGGCAGCCCCAGGAGTCCTGTAAAATGAGCTGAACCCTGCCGATGTGTGATCTTTCCTGCCAGGCACTTAACATCAAGCGTATCTCCCTAACAAATCAAGATGAGAAGAATTTGAAACCAAACTCCTCTCCCCTTGTCAGCGCTGCCATAAATAATTTACCTCCTGTGCACTCATCTGTGGGCCAAACCATTCCTTGCCAAGACTGTAACCCTGCAGGAAGGAAAATGCAGCAGAGAATCTTCAAAAAGAGACAAGAGTCCTATTTTCCCATGTGCATCTGATTTTGTTACTCCTGTTGCACAATCTGTTGTCTAAGGTCCGTAATTTAAAAGCAACATTGGTGTAAGAAAGCTACAGCTGTATGTACAGGAGCTGAATTTATGTTCAAGGACTGGAATTTCTCTTCCAGTGGGATCAAAGCTTGGGAGATGTCAGCAATGCTCTTTGATGGTCCCATCTAGGTGGACAGAGCCTGCTCAGGAGAACCCTTTACTTTTGCTGCAAGATTGTAGAATCCTTAAGGTTGAAAAAGCCCTCTAAAATAAAGTCCAACCATCAACCCAACACCACCATGCCCATTAAACCATGTCCCAGAGATAAAGCAGCTGTGTTGACCAGGGGGAACCTTGTAGAGCTGCTGCAGCACACCAAGTACTGGATGCATCCTTTAATAACTGAAACCACCATGACTGGACTTCTAAATACAGCTTTGTCAGCTTCTATTGTGTTTTTACTACAGCCAGATACGCTGCCAAGGCTTGGGCAATGCTCCTTGCTTGAGAATAATGCTTGCTGGAAGCTTATTTATGGGGGAGCAGACCAAGGCATGACATTGTGTGGGGAGGCCAGGTGGGCAGCCCCATGGGGAGATCCCTAGCACTAAGTGGCTCACAGCTGGCTGCCAAGCGGGTGTTTTTGGGCATTACCTATCACAAGAGCTGTAGGTTAAGAAATACAGTGGCAGTATGGGTTGCCAGCCTGATTTCTCCCTGCCCTCCAGCAAATCAGCCCCACTGGGGCATCCCTGTATGTCCAAGATGTAGTGGGGGTTTGCTTGGGTGATGAGTGGACCTGGTCCTTTGGATCCAAGTCCCTTTCTTGACCAGCTGGGACATGCGGTTGGTTCCCACTAAAGACCCACATGCCCATGGGGCAGCAGCTTCCAGCTCACCAGGGTGCTCAGCAGAAGCCCCGATCCCTGCAGCCTTTTTCTTCCTCTTGTAGGGGTCATTAACACCATTGGCACAGGTCTCCCAATCCCAGCCATGGGGCTCACATTGGAGGGGGAACATTTCTCCCTGCTGCCCACCCTACTCACTCCCAGGCAGGGCACAACTTTCTCAGGGAGGATTGCACCTCTTCCCTGGGGTGTTTCACTCTGCAGAGTCAGATTTGTATGGAAAAGCTGAAGTTTGTGGCTGAAACACCTGCTGCGGGGAGGTGTTTGTTATAACAAAGTGAATGTCATGGGGCTCTGCAGAATAAACGGAAAAGACGGTGCTGTTAGCCGGCAGGTCCAGCATTGCCTGAAAAATGAGCTCAGGGGCACGGCAGGCGCCCAGGGAGGATGGGAGGTGAGTGGAGGAGCAGTGTCCTTGCTTGAGCTCCTCCATCACTTGCAATTGAGTGGCGGATGAAAGAGCTTGGCCAACACAATTCACCCCCTCCTCTCCTCCTATGGGGAAACGGGGTCTCTCCACCTTGCATCCTGAACTCAGATCTAACAAATCTTGGGATGGGAGTGGAAGAGGAGACACAGGAATTTGGGACGTCTTTTTTTTGACCACCCAGAGGGCAGTGATGCCCAGCTGTCCCTGCAAGTGATGATCCTGGGGACTGGGTTAGGAAATTGGGAAGCTGACAGCCAAAATTGCTCTTTTTATCTTAGCAACGCTAAGTTTTGCACCAGTTTCAAGCCCTCTGCCTGTTGGCGGTCAGCTCGAGTGAGGTGAGAGGACAGGAGCACCCAGGGAGCCTCTCCCACGGGTGCAATGCACCCTCTCGTGGCGAGCAGCCATGGTGGGTGCCCAGGCAGGGCACGGGTGTTGCTGGGTACCTGCTGAGTGGAGATTGACTCCTTGGCGTCGTACCGGGCATACATAGACACCCACCAGCCCTTCCACAGGGAAACTGTTCAGGGAGCTGGAATTTGGTCTCTCCAGGCTCAGGGCACCCCAAAGTGGGATCACCATTTCCCACAGGGTCCCCCTCACCTCTCCCTCTCCTGCTTTATGCAGGGAAGAGCAATAATTTTTGCAAAATGCTTCAAGCCAGCTTCCACTCTGCTGGGTTCAACCTGCTCTTCTCCCTCTGACACTTTTCCTCCCTGTGAGGAGCCTGCAAAATAAATCAGTGCTTTGCATAAACAAAGCACCAGAGAGGTATGAGCAAAAAACCAGCGCTCAGGCACCTCAGAAATGCTATTTTTTCCCAGAGAGAAAAGCAAAAGGTTGGGGTTTTTTTCTCCATAATGCCCTACCCCAGGCAGGGATTTCTCAGCCACGGTACCCGTCCCCAAACTTGGTGAGCCCTCGCTCCCACCTGCGTGCTGGCATCCTGTGACTTTAAAGTTCCCTCGATGCGTGGAGCAAAAGAGGGAGGAGAAAGGGTTTCATCATCAGCTCCCCGAGAGCGGACTTATAAAAACTTGGCGCTCTCACTGCCTGCCTCACTCGCGGGCTTGCAGGGGGTTTGGCACAGAGAGGGACAGGAACCCGCCTGCAGCCCAGATATTTGGGGCTCCCCAGGAAGCCCCCATGATGGGAGTCCACCCCGAAGCCAGCAAATCCCCAGTTGACATCCCCAAAATGTCCAGCACCTGCTCTCGGAGTATCTTCTGCAACATCAAGGTAAGGAGCGGCGCCCAGCAGGGATGCGGGGAGGGAGGGGGATGCTTGTATCAGGAGAGACCCCAGCCCATCCCAGGGTTTCCCGCATCCCCAGCACCAACCACCAGTAAAGTGAAGGGCATTTGCAAGATGCAGGATTTGAAACTCAACTCCTTAGACGGAGAGCGCTGCTGAGATCCATCCCGCGCGGCTGGGGGGCTCGGCAGGTTTGGGAGTGGTACCCGGGCAGCGCGGGGGTGTTGCACGGCGTGGGCAGCTCTGCATGGGTTGCGCAGCTTTACCCGCGGCGTCCGGTACGCGGTGTGCTGCTGCTCAGGGAATGATTAACCACATCCTGGTGCAGAAAGAAAACACTGCCCTGTAACAACGCTGACGTGCGTTAAAAACTTCAGGAGCTGGGCATTCGCAGTGACAGCAGTGAAATCCTGGCGGGCTGAAGTGGGTTTGCTGGTGTGGGCTGCCCCATTACCTGCCCCAGTTCATATTAAAGCTGGTCCCTGCCTGAACTTCAGGCTCATGTATGAGAAAACACAAGCCACGCCGGCCGCCTCTTGCATTTAAACCCTGCCAAACCATTGCGCTGCTACACCGCTCCTCACCCTCTTTTCCCCCCAGTATAACAGTTTAGCCCATTTTTGGGTGGGCACCAAGGGGGATGCATGTGCTGGTTCCTGTCCCCAGGACACCCGTCCGCCTCAGCCAGGAGTGGGGTGGGGGGGGGGGATTTTTGTGCCTCGTTTGGCAGTACCTCTGTGTCTTGGCACCCGAAGCGGCCAGGTGCAGTTTTGGGGGCTGGCAGAGCAGCTCTGAGGGCATGAGAGGGGCTGCCGTGCAGGGGGGCGGCTGACAGGACCCCCTTGTCCTGGTGCTGCTGGTCATGCCTCGGGCCAGAGTATGATTTCCCACCCGTGTTACTGCATCTGAGTGTGAGTCCTCGTTTGGCAGTACCTCTGTGTCTTGGCACCCGAAGCGGCCAGGTGCAGTTTTGGGGACTGGCAGAGCAGCTCTGAGGGCATGAGAGGGGCTGCCGTGCAGGGGGGCGGCTGACAGGACCCCCTTGTCCTGGTGCTGCTGGTCATGCCTCGGGCCAGAGTATGATTTCCCACCCGTGTTACTGCATCTGAGTGTGAGTTACCGCATCATCTACCGCGTGTTTGCTGCAAGGAAGGGTTTGCCAGAACTTCCCAGCCAAATGTGTTTTTGGAAGGTGGGTAGGGCAGTGTGGTCTGGGATGGATTTGGGAGTTATTTGCCGCCAGTTTTCCTCATCTTGCATGAAGGAGGGGCTGTGCTTGTTCGGGATTGGTTTTTGGGGAGCAAACATTGGGTTTTGGGGAGCTTGTTCCCAATGCTGGCCCCAGCATTTCTGTTGGCATGCCGTGGGGATGCTGTGGGGTACCACGGGGCTGTTCCCTCCTCTGAGCAGCACAGTGGGGCGAGCAGCAAAGCTTTGCGTGAGGGGAGGCATCATCTCAGACGTCATCTAGTCCTACATCTCTGCAGGTCCCCACTGCTCAGGCTTGGCTGTCCCAGCAGGGGACCTGATGACCCTTTCTGGCTGCTAGCTCTAGGGAGAAGAGCTCCAGGTTACCCTGGGTGATTTAGAGCTGACCCTGGGCTACTCTGACACAGCTTTGAGCATCCTGGTGACCTATCCCCTCCTCTGCCAGAGGTGCAAAAGGTAGCCCTGACCCCCTCCAGGCTACTCCAGTAATGACCATGGCTTGGGGTGAGTCACATCACCCAGAAACAGAGCTTTTCTTGCAGTTCGTGCTCTTCTCTTCTTCTCAGTGTCACAACTGAGTTTCCAGATCTGGGGAGTTGTTTTGCTGTTATCAGGCGTGCAGTAAGCATCTCAGTTTCTGTAGCATTATAGCTCATATTTGTACAAGAAGCCACCGGTGCTGTGAATCACGTATTATATCAAGTTTTCATCCAGCACCTCATTGTGTTTCGAGCTGCTGGCATCGTCCCACGCAGAGACAGGCACCATCAAGGGGTTAAAATTAATTGGGCACAGTTTCCTCATATAAGTGATGGCCATTTCTGACAGGGACAGTATTTCTAACACAACAAAATCCCCAAGTTGTGGCAGGCTTCAAGTCTCAATCACAAAGCTCATGTTTAATCCATAAAGCGAGCAAGCCAGGATTGTTTCCAGAGTGCCTTTTGCAGGGCTGGGGCCAAAAATAGCAAATTATTTTTCCATGCAAACTGTCTTGCTCCTCTACATTCCCTGCGATGGGGACCACTGCCTCCCCGCCCTGGTTACCATCATTCTCAGGGGTGGTTTTTGGCACTGGCCCTGTTACTGGACCTGTTGTTGGACTCGATGATCTTAAAGGTCTTTCCAACCAAAACCATTCTACGGCTGTTGTTTGAAAGTGGAGAGAATGACAGTGCGGGGATGGGCGTCCCCATGCCTCGTGCTATGGGCATCAGAGAGGGAAAGGTCCGGGTGTAAAGCAGGGGTTTTAATGGTTCTGCAGGGATTTGAAGAGTGGGACAGGGATGGCAGCCCTGGGGTGAGTGGTGTGAAGGCTGCTAGGAATGCAGGAGGGAGCGGTGCAGAAGCAGACACATGCGGAGGTGATGCCCTGTGGATGTGGCCACTGGCTGGTGCCTGTGCTCTGGCATGGCAGGCGATTACAGCCAATTTCTGCACCATACAGGAATGTGATGTGTGACAGTGTTGCGGCTGTGGGGGCTCCTCCCAGTCGTACGTGGGTGTTAATGGCTGTAGCAATTACACTATACGGCACCATGGCTGTGTCTACACGGATATTTCAGGGCTCTGCCTGGCTCGGCCAGCAGCGTGTTTGCTGTCTGCACCGTATCTCACAGGCCTGAGGACCCAGTCATTGTGCTTATGGTTTTGAGTGCCCTTTTGGACATGGCAGGGCTGCTTGAACCCCTCAAAAGCCAGCTGTTTGTCTTCAATCAGCTTGAAGAGAGGAAGCAGAAGGCAAAAGGCCTTCAGTCTTTGGGACCAGGAAGTTGCTGCTGAGCACTGTCCCCCATGAGAAACCCCGAGCATCTTGGTAGTCTCACAGCAGTGGTGGTGATGAGCAAGGACAGCCCCTTGCCCTGAGGTTCTCCAGAGCTTCCAGGGTTGTGCTGACTGGCACTAGGAGATTGTAGTTGCTCTGCTTGGCCAATGCAGGATGAGGCCAACCTTCAGGTGGATGCCAGCGCCTGGTGGCAGTGGGGACACCAAGACTTAGGGACATGGTCCAGTGGCAGCCATAGGGGTGGTTCAATGGTTGGACTTGATGATCTTAAAGGTCTTTTCCAACCAAAATCATTCAATGGCTACATGGTTCGATGACCTCACTGCCTAAAGGAACAAAACAGGTTTGAAAGGTGAAGAAGTAGATGGTTGGTCTTTTTGATTCCCAGGCATGGCCATGGACCCCATCAATGCCCTCTGGTCCAGAGTCCTGACCACTGTCTCCAATCATCATGTCCATGCCCACCTTGCCCTTCCAGACAGCTGCTGAAAAATAATTATTTCAAAGGTGTTATTTATTTGCAGTGCCTCAATTGTTTTGGTTTTATCACCTTTATTGTCTTTTTCATGGTCTTCTGCTCGTTTAATTGATAGCTAATTAATAGTTTAATTGATAGCTAATTGTTTAGGATCCTCAGAAACATGACAAGGAGAAGAGCTTTATAAATACTTTGTGCCTTGGCTGGGTTGGACTAGTTTCAGCTGGGGAGAGCACAGGGGAGCAGTATGAAATGATTTGGATTAATCAAGTCATCAAAAGGAGATTCATCTAGTCATTTGTTGTAGGTTTGGAGAGGGAGGCACCAAGAGGTGACAATCATTATCAATCAGGGCCATTGGTTTAAGCAAGAAAATCAGAGGATATTCCAATGCTGGGCACTGTGCAAGGAGAGGTGGCGAGTGGGATGAGCGCTTGTAGCAAAGAAGCAACCAGGGTCCGTAGGGTTGCTTGGGGAGAAGGAACCAGTGCGACTGGGGTCACCCAGCATTTGTGGTGACAGTGCTTGCATCAGAAAACAAAGGCTAGGTTTGGATGGGACCCACACTGTGCTCCAGTCTGGTTGTGCTGGGGTCAGGTTTTCAATGGGAAGAACTGCCCAGCCTTCACCAGCAACACTGGCAGAAGGAGAAGATGGGGACGAGCCAGACGACGAAATGAGTTGGAAAGTTTAGTGGGATCAAGGTCTAGGAGACATGAAACAAGATCATTTTATGAGGGGCGAGGTGGTTCAGTGCCCAAACACAACCAAGGAGTGGTCAGCGTAGATAAGATTATCAAAACAGGAGAGGAGTGTCACTGATAGGGAGCATGAGGCATGGCCAGGGTGGCGGGCGTGCGAGAGGAGTGTTTACCCGCGTTTGTGGGTCAGGGAAAATGAAGCCAAGCTGAAGCTACCTTCAAGGAAATTGTGATGCGCTGTAAAGGAAAGTGCTCTTTCATTTTTTCTGAAGGTCTAAAACCCAACCACACAACATCCCGGTACACTCGGTCTAGTTGTAGGAAGGAAGGAGGCTGCTTGATGACATTTTGCAAGCCAAAATATTTTCTCAGCAGCAGCTTGGAAAGCAGCAAACCCTTACACCTTGCATATTGAAGGTTTAAACATTAAGGTAAAGATGTGTTTTTGTGTCCCCTGGTGTGTTCCCTCTGCAGCAGTCGAGCAAAGTGGGGCTTGCACGGACCTTGCCAGGGCATCGGGATATGGGGCAGGGAAATCCCATGTGTACATTCATCACACAAAGAGCAAATATTGGCTTTGTGCTTGACGATTGGGAGTTGTAAAGTGTGGATTACTTGGCAGTAGGTAGTCAGCGTTGCAACTTATAATCAGCAGCGGCGTGCTTCAGACAATCTCTGATTATTCTGATATTTTTATTAGTTTAGTGGAAATAAAATTTAGGAGCCAACTCCTGCCATTGGACCACCCTCCAGGCTCTGAGATTTTGTGCTGTGTGGCAGGGTATTTGGTTCCTTCAAACAACATGTGGAC